ATGTCTTTATGGACCTTGTTTTGTGCATTGGTGCGCAGTCATGTTGGAACAGGAAGGTGCCATCCCCAAACTGTTCCCACAAAGTTGGAAGTATGAAACTGTATGCTGACGCCGTAAGAGTTCCCTTCACTGGAACTAAGGGGCAAAGCCGAAACCCTGAAAAACAACCCTCCACCAAACTTTACACTTGGCCCAATGCAGTCAGGCAAGTACTGTTCTCCTAGTAACTGTCAAACTCAGACATGTCCATTGGATTGGCAGACAGAGAAGCGCGATTCCTCACTCCAAAGAACACATCTTAACTGTTCTAGAGGCCAATGGCGGAGTGCTTTACACCACTGCATCCAATGATTTGCATTGCACTTTGTGTGCCATTCAGATTTATCGCAACAACTGCTTGGAGACCTTATATCACCAAGTTTGGAGGTCTTTAGCTATTGACTCTGCAGACAGTTGACGACTTCTGAGCACTGTGCACTCTGTCATTTTACGTGGCCTACCACTTCGTGGCTGAATTGCGGTTGTTCCCAGTTGCTTCCACTTTGTTATAGCACTAACAGTTGACTGTGAAATATTTAGTGGGAATTTTACTGATGGGACTTATTGCACAGGTGGCAACCTATCACAGTACCACGCTTGAATTCACTGAGCTCCTAAGAGCGTCGCATTCTTTCACAAATGTTTGTAGAAGCAGTCCAATGATTTGGATTCACTAAGCTCCTGAGAAGATCCCTACTTTCACAAGTGTTTGTGTGTGTTTTAGCTATATTGTATTGTCTTTTAGGACCCATTCCATCTTGGCAATGCAGAATTGTGTGCAGAATCTCACAATACTGCCTGCGATTCCAAACTACTCTAAAATCGTGTCAAATTACACAGTGTGCTTTTGGGTGCTATTCATTGTTAATGGCACCCCAAATGTGGTTAGCAGACATGCATTTTGCCACACATGGTCATTTGACAAATACACTATCAATATGCCAAATTGCGCATTGAAAAACGCACAACGTTTAAAGCCCAAAAAGGTTCAATTTGTTTTTTAGGGCCTTTTTTTATGTGCATTTTGGGGCAGTTTTTTTTAATGCGAATTTTGCCGCTTTCCTCAACACACATTTTGGCATGTTTTTTAAAAATAGTTTTTATGTGCATCTTGGTGCTTTTTTAACATGTATTACATTTTACCTGTGCTTTTGTGTGTATTCCGGAAATGAATGCAAAATGCATGTAATGCTTTTGGTGCCATTAACTGGAAATGGCACACCAAAAGTGGCTAGCAGATGTGCATTTTGCCAGAATATGTGCTAAAAGAAGCTCCAAAATGTGCGTTACAAACCACACCAAAATTTATGTTAAAATAACCCGTGCCAAAATGTGTGTTTAGAAAAGTGCCAAAATACACATTTAAAAAAACTTTTTAGCCACCTCAGTACAGGGCACTTTTACCTCCTTCCTGCCCAGACCAATTTTCAGCTTTCAGCGTTCTCACACTTTTGAATGATAATTACTTAGTCATGCAACCCTGTACCAAAATTACATTTTTGTCCTTTTCTCACAAATAGAGCTTTCTTTTGGTGGTATTTAATTAGTACTGGGTTTTTTTTTTATGTTTTGCACTATAAAATTAAAAAAAAGACTGAAAAGTTTGAAAGAAAATGCATTTTTCTTCGTTTCTGTTATAAAATTTGGCAAATAAGTAATTTTTCTTCATAAATTTAGGCCAAAATATATACTGCTACATTGCTTTGGTAAACATAATCCCAATCGGTGTGTACTATTTGGTCTGTGTGAAAGTTATAGAGTCTAAAAGCTATGGTACCAATCTTTGAAAATTGATCAGACCTGATGTACTACTCTTTTCTTGAGACACGAACAAGCCAGGACAGTACAAATACCTCCCCAAATGACCTCTTTTTGGAAAGCAGACATTCCAAGGTATTTAATAAGATGCATGGGGAGTTTTTTGATGCAGAAATTAGAGGAAGAGTGCCCAAGGCAACAGGGCAGCACCCTAGACCACCCACAGTCATCCCTCTGAGCCCCTCCCCACCAGGGGCGAAGCCAGACTCCCACTAAACCAGGGCAAGGAATGCCCACAACCAAAATGGCAAGTGGCATAACCAGCCAAGTTGGCTGCAAAGCCCAAGCCTAAATTTTCGGGCAAAAAAAGGGGAAGGGTTGTAACAGCGTAAACACTGCAAAGTCCTGGGAAATGGTAGCATGGGGTGATGGTGGTATTAGTGGCTATTGTATGAAGAGCGTAGGATTCCGTGTGGCACTGAGGGCAAGGCTTCCAAATAAGCTGTAGCAACTTCTGTAGATGAGAAAAGGAGAGAAGCGCCTCTAAGTGCAATAAGTCTTTTTATTCAAGTCTAAATGTAGAAGCACTCACATGTGTGAAGTAATCATAAGCTTAAAAACTGTGGTTAACAATAGTTTACGGTGGGGTGGTAACCCGGGTGAAGAGCCATCATCTTACTGTGATGTGGGGAGGTCAGCTCTCGGCTGGAACAGCGTGGTGACTGGAGGGGAACAGCGGTGAGGGCGGCCGGCGTGCACGTCCTCCCTCAGAGCCAGATGGAACGCACGCTGGAATGTAGCGGCGGCGTGGCCGTGATGACGTCAGATCCCAGGGTGCACTGCGACGCGTTTCGGAGCATGCACTGGCCGTGGAAGGCGGAAGTGCGCTCCTTTTTCAAGCCTGCCGTTTAACTATTGTTAACCACGGTTTTTAAGCTTATGATTACTTCACACATGTGAGTGTTTCTACATTTAGACTTGAATAAAAAGACTTATTGCACTTAGAGGCACTTCTCTCCTTTTCTCCCCTAAATTTTCGGGCAGCCTGGCCTCTGGGAGAGCCCTGGGTTGTCACACACAGCTCTGCTCTTGCAAGAGCAGCCACATGCCCCACCAAACAGTAACCCACACTTTCTCAGCTTGTGGCTGGGATGCACACACCCGGAGCACTGGAACGGGCTCCGCACCCCACCACTGGGTATTCCTCCTGGGCCAACTGAAGGGGGGGTCAGATGGAAGTGGCATCATCCAAAAATGCCAGGGTACCTCAAAGGATAGCCCAGGGTCTGCGAGTACCTGTGTCCCAAGCTGGAAGGGAGGGGGCATTTCTACTTACCAGTCCAGTGAAGAGTGCGAGCAAGGATCCCATGACAGAAGTGAGGGGGCTGTCAGCCAGGGGTAACACTGACATGGACTATAGGCATTTAACTCACTGGCCAAACCGGTCCGTGGGCCATCATCGCAGCCGACCGAGCGCAGAGCGAACGCTGCACACGATTGCTGGTCAGACAGGGGTGACCACTGGATCTAGATCACCCAGCCTGTCTCCCAGCTTGACTGTTGATAGAAGATCTTCACAAAAAAAGATCCCAGGGAAAAAAAAAAAAATGAAAAAAAGCTATATACCATAGTGCCAACGCTTTTTCTGCCAAGTGTCCTACTCCTGTAGGTGGGGCTTTAAAACGCTGTTTGGTCATGGATAAAGAAGAGGCTGTGTCCATCAATGAATGTAAGAGAAATATATTTTTTTTGGATCAAGTCTTTTGTTTTGGCAATAATATTCTGGGGGCGGATTTCTGTCAGTCACAGGCTCTGTCACGCCCCTCCAGCCTATGTCTTAGAATAACAGGGATGTGAATGAGGAGCTGCAACACATTCCTGTTGATGGCCAGGGTGGATGAGGGTGGAGCTAGGTGGGACAGAGGTGCGGCCAGGGCCGGGCTAATCAGAACAGCCTGTTTAACAACTTGCCTACCAGGTCACTTTTACACCCTTCCTGTCCAGGCCAATTTTCAGCTTTCAGTACTGTCGCACTTTGAATGGCAATAGTGTGATGACCACGCTATTGTCATTCAAAGTGCGACAGCACTGAAAGCTGAAAATTGGCCTGGCATGACGCCACACATGATCCATATGAATTTTATTTTTTTTTTTGTTCAGACAAATAGAGCTTTCTTTTGGTGGCATTTAAGTACCACTGGGGTTTTTATTTTTTGTGATATAATTTAAAAAAGGCTGGGGAAAAAAAAGCTTCGATTCTATTATAAAATTTTGCAAACAAGTAATTTTTCACCTTCACTAATGTAGGCTGAGGAGGCGGCACTGATGGGCAGCACTGTTAATCAGTACCTTAATTGTTAGTGTAGATGAATCCTTTCACAGTTGCTGGTTATCGGCACTACTTTACTCATGCTGTAACAGCATGAGGAAAGTACTGCTGATAACTGGCAGGTGTATTTATATGGTGATCAGCTGTGATTGGACACAGCTAATCAAGTGGTAAAAGGCAGCTGTGATTGTCCCTTTACCGTGTCATGTGATCAGCTGTGTCCAAAAGATAAAGCGATCACAGAGAGCACTGGGTACAAGCCGCTTGGGGCACATTCTGGGAGAACGTCATATGATGCCCTCCCAGAACTGGACAACTGCGCTGTAGCCGTCATTCGGCTATAGCACGGTCAAGAAGTGGTTAACCACTTGCCTACCAGGCACTTATACCCCCTTATTTACCAGGCCAATTTTCAGCTTTCAGCGCTGCCGCACTTTGACAATTGCGCGGTCATGCAACATTGTACCCATATGAAATTTTGACCATTTTTTTCTCACAAATAGAGCTTTCTTTTGGTGGTATTTAATCGCCACTGGGCGCTTTAATTTTTGCGCTATAAATAAAAAAGGTGCAAAAAATTTGAGAAAAAAAAAGTTTCTTTCTTTCTATTATAAAATTTTTCAAACAGGTAATTTTTCTCCTTCACTGATGTGCATTGATGAGGCAGCACTGATGGGCACTGATAGGCGGCACTGATGGGCACTGATAGGCAGCACTAAAGGGCACTGATAGGCAGTACTAATGAGGTGGCACGGATAGGCGGCACTGATAGACAGCACTAATGAGGTATCACGGATAGGCGGCACTAATATGCAGCACTGATAGGCGGCTGATAGGCACTGATAGGTGACACTGATGATGGGTACTGATAGATGGCACTGACTGGCATCACTGCTGGGCACTGACTGGCGGCACTGACTGGCACAACCGCTGGGCACTGACTGGTGGCACTGACTGGCAGCACTGCTGGGCTGCACTGGTGGGTGGCACTGGTGGGCACAGGTGGGTGGCACTGCTGGGCACAGGTGGGTGGCACTGCTGGGCACAGGTAGGTGGCACTTCTGGGCACAGGTGTGTGACACTGCAGAGTGGCACAAGTGGATGCACTGCTGGGCACAGGTGGGTGATCTGCTGGGCACACTGCTGAGCACAGGTGGGCGGAACTTGCGGGTGGCACTGCTGGGCACCGATCATCAGTGCCCTGATCATCAGTGCCCTGATGATCGGTGCCGATCCTCGCTCTGGCAACTGCCGGTTCTCGGCAGTACTTTCCTCACGATCTGACAGCGTGAGGAAAGTGCAGCCGAGAACCGGCACTTGCATTTCCCTCTGATCAGCGTGTCATTGGACACCGCTGATCACGTGGTAAAAGGCCGCTGTGATTGGCCTTTTACCACATCACGTGATCAGCTGTGTCCGTAGGACACAGCGATCACGGAGATCGCCGGGTGCGCGCCCCAGAGCACGTTCTGGGGGGACGTCATATGACGTCCACTCAGAACTGGCCGGCCGCAGTGCAGCCGTCATTCGGCTATCTGCGGTCGGCTACTAGTTAAGGAAGTGCCTGTGAGTAGCCACATTAGGCTGTACAGGCACACGATTGTCGGTAAAGCTCAGAAGATTCCTGAATGTCAAGTATACACTGTTGTTTCTAGACTAGACAGACAATCAGCAATTAGGAAAATGCATAATATAAAAGTTTAAGTTCTTACACATATTAAGCCCTGGCAAAAATTTAGAATTACACTTTAAATTATCTTTAGATTAATTACCATAATAAAGAAAAATAAATAAAAACAACACAAGCAAAACACTATATCTATATATACACACACACAGGCCACTTTATTGGGTACACCTTGCTAGTAGTGGGTAGGACCCACTTTTGCCTTCTAAACTGCCTTAATTCTTTGTGGCATAGATTCAACAAGGCATTGGAAACATTCCTCAGACATTTCGGACAATATTGACGTTATAGAGTCACACAGTTTCTGCAGATTTGTCAGCTGCACATTCATGATGCGAATCTCCCATTCCACCACATCCTAATGGTGCTCTATTGCATTGCGATCTGGTGACTGTGGAGGCCATTGGAGTACAGTGAACTCATGGTCATGTTCAAAAAAACAGTTTGAGATGATTTGAGCTTTGTAAGCTCGAAAGAGCAGGGCCCTCGATCCCCTCATGTTTTGCATTGTATTGGTATTGTTCTGTCACATGTTCTGTCCCCCTTTGTAATGTACAGCGCTGAGCGAACTATCGGCGCTTTATAAATACTGTATAATAATAATGATATGGTGCATTATTCTGCTGGAAGTAGACATCAGAAGATGGGTACACTGGCACCTGGTGTGGTCTTCTGCTGCTGTAGCTCATCTGCTTTAAGGTTCAACATGTTGTGCGGTCAGAGATAGTATTCTGCATATCTTGGTTGTAACAAGTGGTTATTTGAGTTACTGTTATTATTGTTATATAATACAGGGTTTATATAGCACTAATAGTTTATGCAGCACTTTACAACATAAGAGCAGACAGTACAATTACAATACAAAATTAATACAGGAGTCAGACTGCCCTGCTCATTAGAGCTTACAGGGTTGAGTGATACAAAAAAGGTAATAACTGTGGGGGATGGGCTGATGGACAAAATACATGTAGTTAGTTGGTGCAGAATAGGTCTCTCTGAAGAGATAAGTTTTCAGGGATTGTCTAAAAGTGGACAGATGGAGACAGTCGGACACATTGGGGGAAGAGAGGACCAGGAGGATGGGAGCGGCTCTGGAGAAGTCCTGGAGGCGAGCATGGGAGGAGGTGACAAGGGAGCTAGAGAGCAATAGGTATTGGAAGACCTGTTGCCTTTCTATCATTTCAAACCAGTTTTCCCATTCTCCTCTGACATCAATAAGGCCTTATTGTACACACAACTGCCACTCACTGGATATTTTCTCTTTTTCGGTCCATTCTCTGTAAACCCTAGAGATGGTTATGCGTGATAATCCCAGTAGATCAGCAGTATTTGAACTACTCAGACCAGTCTGTCTGGCACCAACAACCATGCCACATTCAAAGTCACTTAAATCCACTTTCTTCCCCTGATGCTTGGATCGAACTTCAGCAAGTCGTCTTCACCACGTCTAGAAGCCTAAATACATTGAATTGCTGCCATGTGATTGGCTGATTAGCAATCTGTGTTACCAGCAATTGAACAGGTGAACCTAATAAAGTGGCCGGTGAGTGTATATTTCTTTTAATATGAGCATGGAGTTCAGTTTTAATTATGACCCTGACACTGTAATTTGAAAAATAAGGGTAATTCTGCTGATGTGAAAGGTGTAGAATCATACATCCAAACCAACTAAATACAAGCCCCAGTGCCCCTTATATGTTATCTGGATAGAAAAGAACATCTGTTTAATGCATGTGGAAAATAGCAGTGAATACAAAAGGGCAAGTATGTGTTGTGTTCTACTACCCTTCACGCCATGCAGGGTAGTTAACATTTACTGACATAAATGGAAGATTTCCCCTTAAAAGGAATTTAATTAGAGCAAATGGATAAATAATTGCTTGCAGACTTTTCAAGGATGATTTCTAGAAATCCGGATAATTTTCCTTTATTAAAAAAGGAAAGAAATAAGTCTGATTTGCAGACATGAGTATCCGCTTTAAATATTCCCAGTAATTACACATATCTGTCAGAGGAGATTAGGATAAAGCTGCGAAGCCTTACATGGCTCCTGGCTGTACAGTAGTCTTCAGACTCATCCACAGTACAAGAATCTCGGCACATATATCTGCACTTCGATTCATATTTCTGAACTGCTGTTGGCAATGAAACCCTTTCAGTGAGGACATGTCAATACAAAGCTTTTTAACCTGAAGGTCAAGATCTAAATCTGAGTTGCCAAACTGTTTCGGAGAATTCAGATGGATCAACGGTGGTATTTTATGTAAGTCCTATTTTCCACTATTTATGTTTTAATACCAAGTACACACGGGCAAGTCAACATGAGCATATTAAGGACAAGGACTAAAACAAAAGCATGGGTTATTTTAAACAAGAATGCCAGAAATGGTGTTTGCCATTTTCAATGAAACCCACCCTCACCACCAGTTTTTTGTTTCGTAAACGCCATATGCTTACCTTTTCACTGAAGTCTTACTGTCATATGGTGACACCACGGAAGCTTCCTCCTCTTTGGTAGTGGCAGGCCTTCCACCGGGACTAAGCAGTGGTCACATAACCATATATGAGCACCACTCAGCCCTCTAGTACTATGATCCTGCTTGCAAGATGACACACCCCAGGAGGTGTGTGTCAAATACAGGCTGGGTTCACAGGAAATGGGCATGGCGATCATTTTGTCTGAAGATCGGTGGTGCTAGACTCAAGAGGAAGCAAGGAACAGCACAGATAAATGAAAAGGGTATGAACAAAACAAAGAAAAAAAAAAATGAAAAGTCAGATTAATGCATTTCTGCCGTGCCCATCCTTAGACATAACCAGGGTTATGACCAATTTTATTCTCAGTACTATAAGATCCTGGATATTGAATAAAGACATTTTTCTATTTTGAACAATGATGGCGAATGCTGACATACCACATGGGGAAAGGTGTTGTCTGAGCACCCAACCAAGCTAGCCTGGATAAAGAGGAGTGATTAACCAGGTACTGATGTAGTTGGCAGAATGTTGTACACTGGTAATCCCAAGGTCACCCAAGTTCCAGAAGCAGCTGGCAGTGCACATCCCTGTTGCCATTTAAACTATTTACCAAATAAGCCTGAAAATATGCCTAGCTAAATTAGATCAATAAGGGATACTCTATCAATTGCAGACTGCAGCAGAATAAACACTGCATGATGGTAATAAATCCTAGGGAGATAAAGGAAGTTTTGATTTTTCACAAATAACTTGGAAACACGTTTACAACCGTTTAGTAAAAAACAATAAATGCACATTTTTGGCAGGTATAAAATGTGCATTTATTATTTTTGTCTGCAGGAGCTTGTACAGCATCGCACCAGAGATCAGCAGATCGCTGGTGCCATGCAGGTCCTCTGCAGATCTGTCAGAATATCTGCTTGCTCGTAAGGCATGTACAAGCAAGCAGATATACTGACAGAAAGGATCAATGAATTACCATGGCACTCCACAGTGCCATGGTAGTCCATTGAGGACTACAAGCGGACAGCTGCTAAAGATGCTGGGACTTGTAGTCTCTCATTCACAGAATGCTGTAAATGAGTGAGCCGAAAGCGCCACACGGCCACATTTATTTTTTTTTAGAAGATCCAAAGCAGGAAGCGGGCTCCGGACAGATCGTAACATGTTACACCTGCATATGTTACCAAAGGTCAAATTATCCTTTACAGTAGATCTATTATTATTATACAGGATTTATATAATGCCAACAGTTTGCGCATCACTTTACAAAATGAATCTAAAGCCAAAACCTTTTTTTTTTTTTTTTCATTTTGGATAGAGTAGGTGAGGGCTACAACTAAGTCAGTATTTTCTTTTTAGCATCGGTGTCTCATTAGGGAGGTTTCCCTTCACTTCCTCTTATGCAGACTCAACAGGAAGTGAGATGATATCTAATGTGAGGAAAATCCCCCCTTAAGATTGTTGTCACAGGAACAAGTATCCTTATTGAAAGTTACTGTTTTAGCAGCAACTCAAAATTTTGGATTTACCCTCATTTTATTACCAGTGACATTGGTGATCAAAATCATTAGAAAGATAAAAAAAATATAAATTAATAATAAAAACCTGATTTCCCCTTACTACTCCATCCAAATCTAAAAAAAAAAAAAAAAAAAAAAAACCCGCCCAAAAAAAAACCCCAGTCACAACAAAACAGCTTATGACTGTAGAAAATATCAGTATGCGGATGCCTGAATAGAGAAATTAGATGATGGTCTATGCCAGACCAGATGATAATATAATATTTAGAGAACACTAGAAATCTGATTCGGGTCACAGTTGTGACTAAGAAAGCATGTCTGCTTCACACCTTCTATCATAGACTAAACACAAGATGCCACCATTAGTGATAAGGGTACAAACATGATTCACAATATCTGCTAGATGTGGGGAGAAGAGAGGGGGTTGAACTGAGCCTGAGGTTTACTCCAATGTCCAGGGGCAGATAAAGTCTCCATAGAGAATAAACAGCACACCAAACAGACTGCCTTCTGCACTCGCTATAATCCTAAAGCTTTCCATATTAAAAACATTTTTTTAAAAATATTAGGGCATCTTAAAACAGGACCCCTTTCTCAACAACCTCATCCCAGAACACCCGGAGATTATTTTTA